ATAAGCTCTGGGAAGACAAGAGGGGCTGTGAAGGGAAGACAGGGGTTTCCCAGGAACTGACATTTTTCCACTTCCTGACCCAAGTGCGCACACAGGGCTTGCTTATTCTCTGAACTCTTGTGTGCTCTCTTCCGTAGGGACAAAGGCTGGGCCCAGCCAGGAGCTGACTGGTCTCGAGTCCCAGGCATGCTGGACCTTGGGAGAGGTCCAAAGGAGGTCCTGGCAGCCTCAGGAAAAGGCCTAGGAACATATAATTCTGTACATATTATATAATATTACATTAATTATGCAGTATCACATACTATATTGTTTTCTTAGAATATTCCACATAGAATACATGTACTGTATATTACGTATACAGTGTTATATTTATATTTTATATGTCTAATTTTTTTAGGTTTTATTTATTCATGAGAGACACATAGAGAGAGGCAGAGACACAGGCAGAGGGAGAAGCAGGCTCCCTGCAGATAGCCCAATGTGGGACTCGATCCCAGGACCCTGGGGTCATGCCCTGAGCCGAAGGCAGACACTCAACCACTGAGCCCCCAGGCATCCCTATATTTGTATTTCTTATATGCATTTATTACATATAAATACTGTACCACATATTACATAATTATACAGTATCTAACATATGGTGGGCACCACACCGTAGTTCAGCGCTATGTATATATACCACATGGTACTATATTACATATCGTTACATGTACAGTATGCTTAAGTGTCTAAGCCTCTACCTGCGTCGTGATCTCAGGGTCGTGAGATCAAGCCCAGTGTCCGGCTCCAAACCCAGAAGGAGTCTGCTTGAGATTCTCTTCCTCTGTCCCTCCCACTCGTGCTCTCAAATAAATAATAAATCCCTAAAAAAAAAAAAAAAAATACCACAGGGGTGCCAGGGCGGCTCTGTCGGTGATGCATCTGCCTTCAGCTTGGATCATGGTCCCAGGATCCTGAGATGGAGAAGCCTGCTCGGCGGGCAGCCTGCTTCTCTGGCTCCCTCTGCCCCTCCCCCAGCTTGTGCCATCTCTCAAATATATAATATCTTTAGAAAAAATACTGAGGGTTATATATTATTGTGTAATTACATATATGGTATTATAGAATACTGCACGTTCTATTACATAACCACATGCACAGCATCATATAATGGCGTGCCAGGTGTTGCACAGTATGCACACGGCACTGTATCACATATGCAACACCATACCTGTCACATTAGTACACATACAATAACAGCACAGTGTATATTTGAAAGCTGCTCAGAATACAGCTTAGAAGTTCTCATCCCAGGAAACATTTTTTGATGACACGGTAAGACGACTTCCGGTGCTTTTTGCAACATACACACGTGCTCAATCATTACACCGCGCACCTGAAGCTAACACACCACCTTTGGCCATTATATCTCCATAAAAAGAAAGCACATGGGTCTGGTGAAGGGGGCCCTGCCACTGCTCCTCCCCTAGATGGGAGGATGGGTGACAGGGGTGTCTCTTGCACAACCTCCCTGGGGGCAGCCCCAGCCCACAAGGCTCAGCAGGATGAGACCCAGCAAGGAAAACAGAAGGCAGAACAAGGAGCCAGAAAGCACTGGAGAACTTCTGTTGCTCAGGATATACCCCCAGGGGACCTCCAGGGACCCCTCAGCCTTCCCTGTGACCCCCGTGTCACTCGGGGGACTGGGCACCCTGAGCTGGCACTCCTGCAGTGATGCTCAGTCCTTCTGCATGGGCTGGGCTAAGGACCATGGACACATGGCAGACCTTGTGCCCATCCCTAAGCAGCCACCAGCTGTCACCTGTGATGCAGCATGCAGGGCGACACAGCACCACAGACTCAGGCGCCAGAAGATGCTGGGATTCAATGCCTGTGGGGATGTGAGGTAAGTAGCGGAGGGGCTATCTGGGGCTGGCATAGGGACTGGTGCAGTGGACACAAAAGGAACTAACTGTGCCCACAACTGAGGACAGGACACCTCAATCCCCCGTCCCCCTCCCTCAGCCCCAGGCACTGCCTGTGGCGTGTGCCCTGATGGCGAGAGCCGGGGGCCCCTGCTTTAGGGACACCGAGGGCATCTCACTTCACATCCCAGAAAAAAGCCATCTAGGGTTTGAAGCTGGTGCCCCAACTCCCGCCACCTCCACCCCTGCAGCCCCCCATTCCAGCTCTTGGTTTCCTTCAGACCCACAGCATCTGCAGCCCAGGAGATGCACACCTGTGCTACTGACATGGGCTCCTGTGCAGGTGAACCCTGCAAACGCTGCTCAGCACAGAAGCCGTCACGGGCCCCTCACTGCGTGCTTCCACTTACCTAGTGTCCAGAACTGGCAAATCGACAGAGCAAGGTTAGTGGTTGTTTACAGGGCTGGTCAGGGGGAGGGACTGGTAATGGGTAACGAGGTTTCCTTTTGGGGGCGATGAAATGTTCTAAAACTACACAGTGGTAAACTAGAAAGCGGAACATTGTACATTAAAAACCACTGAACTGTACACTTTAATGCCATTAACGTGTTGAATTTTATAACTCAATTAAAAAACTCTACCTACAAAATAATGGAAGTACATTCTTGGGCCCTTCCCCAGAAAATTGGGATGGGGAGGCGGGGCAGTAACCTGTTTTAAGTCCTTGACGCCTGATCAAACTCAAGAGCCACTCAACTGTCCCAGTCTTGCCTGAGCAGGACCATATGCTGGGCCCGATCCCCAAGTAGCCACCATCCCATTCCTGGGGAGGGGGGCGTGTCCCCTTCCAAGGCACTATGGTGCACATCCCCTCTCCCACTTGCTCTAAACACAGCTGGGCACCACCTCGCACGGGAAGCTCCCAGCGAGGATACTGTGGACCCCAGGGTGGGTGTTCCCCAAGGCTGGGGCCCTGCTGATCTTACGGTCTCCCACGCAGGCTGCAGGGCCTGATGGTCACTCCAAGCCTCCCTTCACCAGACTGTGGTTCTGGGCCTGGCGAGAGATCCGTCTGGAGGGCGGACCCCAAGTCCCCCCTGCCATGCTGCAAGGCCCCACTCCTCGACCCCTACGCAGTTAGAAGATGCCACAGCCCACACCAAGTGGCCACTGTGTCCCCTCCACTGGACAGAAGCATGGTGTGTGGGGGGTGAATCCTCAGGAACAGTGGCAGGAGGGGCTGAGGGCCCCATACAGCTCTGGGTGGACCTCAAGAGCTTGGACCCCTGGAGGATCCGCACCTGTCAGTCTGGCCCACCCCAACCTCCTCAGGGATCACAACTGCGTCCTGACCGACATCTCTGCTTCTCTCTATAAAATGTTTCCCATGTTTTTGTATTCCTTGAGAGGGCTCAGGGTGGGGTGATGACCTCTAGCCTGACCCCTTATGATTTATGGTGACTTCCTCTAGGTACATCCCCACATCCCCGTCTGCGAGCACTCCTCTGCTGGAACCCAACTAGGGTGAGCTGGGGGGTCCTGGGAGTGCTCTGCATGGCCTCCGTCAATCTGACCTCTTCTGGGCCCACTCAGAGCACAGGACCATATGTCCACTGCACTCCTACACACAGGGGCCTGGGGTGCACCAGGGACAAGTGGGTGCCTCTAGTAACAAGGTTGGAAGAGCCAGAAACATCTGCTCCTGGACTGGGGAACACTCAAGTGATGGGGAGTAGCTGCAGCTTCCAGGCACCCTCCAGCGCGGTCTGTCTCAGCCTCATCTTTGTGGCTCAGACTTCATTACTACTCCTAAGTCCAGGGAGGTCTTCATTCTACCTTTTCAAAACCATTCCTTCATGAATGGTGGTGATGGCTGCACAACCTGTGAACATACTTAATAATGGTTGAAATAACTTTTACATGTTTTACTAATATTTTTTTAAGCCCACCCCTCCAGATGAGGGATGGAGGCAGGAGGTCCTTCTGTCATCCTGGCTCCTAGCCACGCACCTCATGCTGCCTGACCTGGGTGTCCTCTGCATGCCACAGGCAGAGTCCATCGCTCACAACCCCAGGCCTCATTCCCTTTGCCCCTTCTCTCCTAGGACCGCCCTTAACCCACTCATGGCTTTGCACCAACCTGTGTCTACTTCCCAAACCGTAGAGGACATGCCTCTACCCACCTAGCTTGAGGTCTACACCACCTCTTGCTTTCTGGCAGCCCCCCTTCCCACTGCAAGCAACATATATATACCAGCAAGGCCCCTTCTTCCTGACTCAGCCTGGGCCTCAGACAAGGGCAGTGCAAGGACATTGCTGATACCAGGCCAGGGAGAACCTACGCCGCAGGAGCACCCACCTGCCCGTGTATCTTCTGAGGACAGATTGTGGGAGCAGAGCCCAAAGCAGGACCACCAGCCACATCACGGTGCTGGTGGCCACATGATCCAGACCCAGTGACCACTGAGCCAGTCTCTGCACAGAGGGAGTAGGGATGACTATTTCCACAACGTGGCCATTAGGAGCTCTCTCCTAGAATAAGAACCCCTGCCCCCCAAAAGGGCTCATTTTGTTTTTTGAGTAAATGTGGCAAACAGCGGAGAGCATGGCTACCACCACAGGCTCTCCAGTGAGTCAAACTATGACCTGAACAGATCAGCCAGCCCCCGAGGACCCTGTGGCTGTCATGTGGATGTTGTCCAAAGGCCTCTGGCCTTAGGTGACTCCGAAAGGGCGAGCTGCAGTGCGGTTCACGGAGCCAGGCTGAGGCTGCGCTAATAGCACACTAGACAGGCAGCCCTTCCTAAAGAAGGGGATGTGGAATGGGGTACACCTCCGTCCCCTCCAGGGCAGCCTGCCGCAGTCTGCACTGCAGGGCGGAGCTGTGCAGCCCACAAGTAAAGCCCTGCACGCTGCACTCCAGACGGTCAGGGCAGGGCACCAGGCATGTCAGATGCCAACAGTCAAAGGGTCGTCTAACAGTAAGTCACAATTTCTGAGGGTGAGCAAAACTCGTGGAGAACATCCAGTGTGTGACCACCTACGGAAAGCCACGGTGAAGTCTCTAGAGCACAGAAGGACAGCAGAGACCCCACTGCAGCAGTAAGGAGGCCGTCTGTCAGATTTATTTATTCCTACTCAACATAACCCCAGAACACAGGAGCAACTCTGTACATCTCTAGAAACTCACAGCTAGCTCCAAAACAATAGAAATCGTAAACTACAAAAGATGAGTTGTATTCAGCAAATATAAAGGGTAACTTTAGGCTGTGTCGAATGTTTATCAGATTATTTACAGGCCCAGGTGTAGGTTCAGATCTCGCCAGCCTCCTTCTCCTCCGACCTCCGCGAAGCCATCTTCCCATTGGAGCTCTCCAGCCTCCAATCAGCGGCCCCTCGCTCACTGCGCCCGTGCTCCCAGGACTCCTCTCTCGATGTCCGCTCTCTGGAGAACCTGGAAAACGAGAACCAGAGGCTCAGAGGAGGCCGGCATCCCCCTTCTGGCTGGCTCCTGGAGCACCGGCAGCTCTGACCCTCACCACCAGGTCAGGGAAGGCCGAGACCCAGCACACCTGGGGAAGGCCTCGGCAGGCCAAGAGGGCAGCTGTCTAGTGCCCACACCACTACAAGGGAGTGTTCAGGCAGCCACTAAAAAGACATTTGTAAAGATTTCTCCTAACAGGGCAAGCTTTTGCTGTAACATGAATGGAGCAAAGGACAACAAAAGTGCACATGTGGAGTATGACCCATTATGTAAACACAGTGGAGAAGAGGCTACAATCAACACAAAGATGCTCACAGGGCTTACCTCAGAGTGTATCAATGTTTTTTGTTTTCCCTTTAAGAAAACCACAACAGAGGTAAGCAGGGCCTGGTCAGGACACAAATCTCAGCGGCTCTGTGCATCAAGGGGACACCGAGTGTGCAGGTCACAAGGGAGCTGTGCCCATGTAACCACCCCCACAGCCTCTCAACTGCGCCAGCCCTGCATCCACCTGTGGCTCTGAACTTACAGCTCCCTATACCCTGGGCCCCGTTCACGAGTCCTTAAGGCTCCAACACAGTTCCACAGATGCTCAGCCAGGCTCCTGAACAAAATCCCCAGACCCATCCCTGACAGGTATGGCCAACAGGCCCCACTGACAGACCCCCAGAAGACCCTGGGAACACAAAGAGAAGGGGCTCACTCCTGGTTGCAGCTACTGAAGGATTCAGAGTAGTTACTTGTATTTCGCACTCCGGTCCCTGGAAGCCCGGCGGTGGCCCCGGCTGTGGCTCCGGGAACGGCTGCGGTGGCGCCGGTGTCTGTCTCGGGACCGGGACCGGGATGACTTTCGTCGCTCCCTGGAGGTAGATCTGGACCTCCTCCGACGCCGGTCCCGGGAGCGTGACCTGCAGCAGACAACAAGAAGGATCTGAAGGCCAAGATGCCCATTCTTGCAGCAGGTTCTGCTGGGCGCTTCGCTGCCATCTCCCCTTCCCTCCTACTGGGGTTCACAATAATTCCACCAACTAACCTCTGGTCAAAGAGAATTAAGGCCCAACCCTCCCAGGTGCTTCTGAAAACACCTTGCCAGGAAATCCCTGCCAACCCACAGGCCTCAGCAGCACCTTCTGACTTCTCTCATTTACAGTACGTCCTTCTGCTACACTAAGCCCCAATCAACCTGACAACAGACAGCCATGGCCCAAACCTGGCCCCTCACCAGCCCTACCTACCAGGTGAAGCTTTAGAAGTCAACTATTAAGAAAAAAATGTACGGAGAGGGCATGCATGGGTGGCTCAGTTGGTTAAGTGGCTGACTCCTGGTCTCAGCTCAGGTTATCCCAGGGTCATGAGATCAAGCCCCCCATTAGGCTACGTGCACAGGACAGCATCTGCTTAGGACCCTCTCTCCCTCTCAAATATATTTTAAAAAGGACAAATATGTAGAAAAATGGACATTTCACTGAGAACATGTTAATGGATTTGGAAACCTACCTCCTTCGATCTCTGGTTCTTGATCCAGACCTAAAATGATTAAAAAGAAAAAAAAAAAAAAGATGAACAATTTCCCCCAAACAGCCCTGCCCCTCAGTCCACAACTGAAGGAGTGTCAGCTTCCCACAGAAACCTGTTAATTTCTAATGGCTGACTCATGCTCAGGCCTACGGCTCCACTGGTCAACGTTCACAGCACCAGGCCAACCCTCAGTCCCCAGGGGTCAAATGCTATGCTCAAGTTCAACAACTGGCTCTGCAAAGTCTCGGCAGTGGACACTCACACAGCTATGCAGACTGTCACACAGCAGATGCAGGGCTGGGCAGGATCTACAGTCAGGTCAGCAAAGGACGCCAAAGTTAAAGCAAAGCCTCAAGTTCCAGACACAGGCTCATTGCTAGTTGAGGGTCATATGACCTCCTTGAGAAATACTACATAACCAACCAGCAATCCAAGAAACACACATTACACAATGGGCTCTCGTTTTACATCCTGTTCTACAGCAAAAAATAAGATCACCACCACCAAGTGCTGAGGGGGATGTGAGAGGAGATGCTCACACAACATGCGTTCAGAGGATGACCTGACAGCTTCCTGGAAACCAATTTTTCCAACACCTACTGATATTTGTCCTAGGAATTCTAAGGAATTTTATAAAGCACTCAAGCACATCTATAAGGATGATCATTAGAGCACTCATTTAAAAAGTTTTATAATGGCACCTGGGTGGCTCAGTCGGTTCAGCTTCCAACTCTTGATTTTGTTTCAGGTCAGTCTCAGGGTCCTGGGACCAACCCCGTCATTGAGCTCCACTCCAGGACTTCTCTCCCTTTGCCCTGTCCCACCCCCCAGAGCTCCCTTGTGGCTCTCAAATAAATAAATCCTCATTCATGAGACACACACAGAGAAAGAGGCAGAGACACAGGCAGAGGGAGAAGCAGGCTCCATGCAGGGAGCCCGATGTGGGACTCAATCCCATACTTCTGGGATCATGTCCTTTTTTTTAAAAAAAAAAATTTTATTTATTTATGATAGAGAGAGAGAGAGAGAGAGAGAGAGAGAGAGAGAGAGAGAGAGGTAGAGACACAGGCAGAGGGAGAAGCAGGCTCCATGCACCGGGAGCCCGACGTGGGATTCGATCCCCAGTCTCCAGGATCGTGCCCTGGGCCAAAGGCAGGCGTCAAACCGCTGTGCCACCCAGGGATGGGATCGTGTCCTAAGCCGAAGCCAGACACTCAACTGCTGAGTCACCCAGGCATCCCAAATAATAAATAAATCTTTAAAAAAACAAAACACAAAAAAAGCTTTATATAGAAACTGTTATCAAAAAATGAAAGTAAGAAACAAAAACAAACACGGAATGAGGCTGCATCAAACTAAGAAGCCTCTGTATGCACTGGAACCCATCAACAAGATGAAAGCCCACCCGGAAGTGGGAAAAACACGTGTGGACCAAGTATCTGACAAGGGGTTAATATCCAAATATATAAAGAACGCCTGCAACTCCAAAGAAAAAAAAACAGATAGACTAAAAAGAAAAAAAAAAGCAGGAAAATCTTGGGATGCCCAGCTGGGTGGCTCAGTCAGTGAAGCATCTGCCTTCAGTTCAGGTCATGATCCTGGGGTCCTGGGATCAGAGCCCCAGATCAGGCTCCCTGCTCAGCAGGTAGTCTGCTTCTCCTTCTGCCTCTGCCATTTCCCCCAGCTTGTGTTTCTCTCTTGCTCTCTCTCAAATAAAATCTTAAAAGAAATATATATTTTAAAAAGCGGATAAAGGATCCAGACAAACATATCTTCAAAGACAACACAGAGATAGCCAACATCACTCATCATGAGAAATGCAAAAAAAAACCACCATGAGGTATCACCTCACACCTGTTAGAAAAGCAATAACCATCCAAAACTCAAGAAATCATAAATAAAACTAAATAAAAATTCTAAGACAAGGTAAGAAATAGTAAGTGCTGGGGTGCTTGGGTGACTCAGTGTTGAGCATCTGCCTTCGGCTCAGGGTGTGACCCCAGGGTCCCTGGATCGAGTCCCACATTGGGCTCCCTGCAGGGAGCCTGCTTCTCCCTCTGCCTGTGTCTCTGCCTCTCTCTCTCTCTCTCTCGTGGATAAAAAAAAAAAAAAAAAATCTTAAAAAAATAGTAATAAGTGCTGGCAAGGACATGGACAAAAGGGAACCCTCGTGCACCGTTGGCGGATAACTAAACCTGTGGAGCCACTGTGGAAAACAGTAAGGAGGGTTCTCAAAAAATTAAAAATAAAACTACCATATGGTCCCACAAACCTACTTCTGAGTATTTATTCAAAGAAAATGAAATTACCATCTTAAGAAAGACCTCCACACCCCTCCATTCATCACATCCTTATTTAGAAGGGCCAAGACATGGAAACAACCTAAGTGTCAACTAACAGATGAATGGATAAAAGATGTGAGATGTATACATAATAGAACACTACTTGGCCATAAAATAGTAAGAAATCCTGCCATCTCTGACAGCATGGACGGATCATGAAGGCATTATGCTGTGTAAAATCAGTCAGAGGCATGCCTGGGTGGCTCAGAGGTTGGATGTCTGCCTTTGGCTCAGCGTGTGACCCTAGGGTCCTGGGATCGAGTCCTGCATTGGGGTCCCTGCATGGAGCCTGCTCCTCCCTCTGCCTGAGTCTCTGCCTCTCTCGGGAATAAATAAATAAAATCTTAAAAATAAAATAAAATCAGTCAGACACAGAAAAGCAAATAATGTATGATCTCCATTATGTGTGGAATCTAAAAAACAAAACCAAACTCACAGAGAACCAGCTGGTGGCTGCTGGAGGCAGGGTTGGAGATGGGCAAATATTATGGAGGTGGGTGTGGTTGTGCTGTCACTGCCCGGGCATGTGTACCCGTCTGCCAAGGGCACTCCTACTGGGGAAGGTCTGAGAGATGAAGCAAGGATCCTGCATGTACCCGTGCAAACAGACACACCCTGCCACAGCAGTGGTCACTTATGTGTAAAAACGGACTTACATGTTATGCTTAATACATTTTTATGCCGTTTGAATGTATTTTGTTTTAGTCTCTTTACAATCAGAATCTGTTAGGTAGTTAAAGTAATGAGAAGACTAAAAATGCAACAAACATTTCTTGGTCTTTCCTGAATTACACACTAAGGAATTCCCCCACGAAAGCCCAGCTCTGGGCCTTTCGAGGACACTGAGCATGTCCCATAACAGTGTGGTCTTGATTCCAGCCTCTTCCCTGAACTCTGACCAGATGTCTCCTAAGCATCTCAAATAGAATACAGCTAGAGCCAAATTCTCCCCACCACCTCCTCCTGACCCCAATATACTGCTCCCAGTTTCTCCATCCCCCTAAGTGGCAACTCTAGGCCAGAAACCATGAAGCCAGCTCTACTCCCCCTTTGCCTGCCTCACAACCTCCTACCAGCAAATCTTATCGGCTCTACCCCAACACACCCAGATCCTTCTCACCCACACCTGTCACAGGTACCTCCGTCACCAGCACTCTCCTAGTCAGCTCCTCAGTCCTTGCCGCTTCCACCCTGACCATCTACATGTGTTCTCAGCAGGGCCCCACAACCCTCAGTCAGCTCCAGTGTACTCAGCCCTGGAGGATTTTCCCCGACAGCAAGTACAGCTCTGTGTGCGGAGCACGCTCCAGCTCCAGAGTCTCAGCTCCTGCCCAACTTGTCTGCTGAGTGCTGTGTCCCCAACAAGGCAGGTCAGGGCACAGCAGGTTCCTCTCCCACTTCTACTGCTCAGCCCTCTCCTACACCTTCCCAGGGACGAGTTAGGTCGCCACAGCTGCCTGTGCAGCTCCAGATGGCTCGCTCTGCACCGCACAGCTCCTTTGAGGCCAACCAAAACCCCACTCCTCTGAACATGCTACGTGTTTGCTTCTTTTTAAGGGCCATGTGGGTCGGCAGCACAAGCCAGACTGCGAGGAAGGAACGGTCTTCTTGGACATGTGTGTGCTGTGGATTCACCTCCTGCTCAGCCGCTCCTCCCGCTCTCTCTCCTCTCTCCTCCTCAGACGATCCTGATTTCTCTTCTCCTGCTTTTCAGCCACAGTTTTCTAAATAAAAGTTGGAAAATGAAAGAAGAACAAGTTATACCAACTAGTAAATGAATGTTAAAGCGCTTTATGATTTCAATATCAGTAATTTAAAAATCTAAAAGAAACTCTTAGGAAATGGACATAACCACCTTTAAGACTTCTTAATGGAAAATACATGAAAATAATGCTTTTACTTAATTTTTAAAATATTTTATTAGAGACAGAAAGAACAAGAACACCAAGCAGGAGGAGCAGCAGAGGGAGAGGGAGAAGCAGATGCTCCACTAAGCAGGGAGCCCCATGTGGGGATGGACCCCAGGACCCTGAGAGCAGAAAGCAGATGTTTAACTGACTGAGCCACCCAGGCACCACAAAAATAATGCTTTTATAAATTCACCTCATATATTCAGGGACAAGCTGCATACTCTAAGAGGTGCTATAGCTCAAAGTCACAGAAACTGATCTTTCACTTCACACCAATCCAGAAAGTTAGTTTTTTACAAAGGAGACTCCACAAACTTTACAGTAAAAAAGAACACGTGTCTGACCAAATATATCCTGCTGCCCAGGAGCAGCCTGTCCTTGGGAGTGCTGAGGGCTACATCGTTACACTGGCTTTAGACCCGGCCTCATGGGGACAGCAGGCCAGGGGAGGTGGTCTGTGAACACTCCACAACTGGCTGGCTTTCTTGTTTGCTTTAATATTTTAAGCAATCTTTTTTTTTTTAATTTTTATTTATTTATGATAGAGAGAGAGAGAGAGAGAGAGAGAGAGAGGCAGAGACATAGGCAGAGGGAGAAGCAGGCTCCATGCACCAGGAGCCCGATGTGGGATTTGATCCCGGGTCTCCAGGATCACGCCCTGGGCCAAAGGCAGGCGCCAAACCGCTGCGCCACCCAGGGATCCCCATTTTAAGCAATCTCTAACATCCAACATGGAGTTCAAACTTACAACCCCATGATCAAGAGTCATGTAGTCTACTGACTGAGCCAGCCAGGAGCGCCCAGAACTGGCTTTCAACATTAAGTTCAATACTCGGCTCATCAAGATTGATTGTGAACACAATAGAAAAGACAATCCAATCCAACAGAAAGGAAGAGGCCCAGAGAAACTACTGGAATGCAATCGACAAAGCTCAGAGAAAGTACTAGGTCCAGCCTCCATACCCCCCACTCCCAATACCAACCCAAATCCTTTTGATCCCCCCACCCCTCCACTGATGGAATGAAGCCCTAAGGGGGAGTAAAGTAGGGCCAGGGAGACAAAGAGTCACCAGTCTTCTCATGCTCATGAAGGATGATCCTACATCTCAGTACAGTCTGGAGCCAGGTCCTTGAACAATGGGGTATAGCAAGGACCACAGGAGACGGGCCAGCTATTCTCCTCAAAGCACTCACAAGGTGCGAGAGAGCCTTCCTATTTGGCACCTCCGGCTCTCCACCCCTGGCTTCACTTGTCCTGGATCTGAGCAGGCACAAAAAGATGGCTAAAGTTAAAGATGGAGAGTTTCAGGGACCCCTGGGTGGCTCAGCGGTTTAGTGCCTGCCATCGACTAAGGGCATGAGCCTGGGGTCCTGGGATCGAGTCCCACGTCGGGCTCCCTGCATAGAGCCTGCTTCTTCCTCTGCCTGTGTCTCTGCCTCTCTCCTCTCTCTCTCTCTGCCTCTCATGAATAAATAAATAATCTTTTTTTAAATAAATAATCCTAAAAAAAAAAGATGGGGAGTTTCAGCCCCTCAACTTCCACACACACTCCTAAAGGAGATGTGACCAAGCACAGGGCTATGGTCTGGCATTAAGACCTTTATAAACCTCCCTACTTCCAAGACACTGTCCTTCCACCAGTAACAAAGAAGGCCTTGCCTCACTATTACCTGGGCGTGTGGCCTGGAAGTATGAGTACCTCTGGGACCACTATAAGAGAAGCCAGCTCAGATTAGGGCCCAGAACACTCCTGCTTCTTATTGTTTAGAGGTGCACTTCCTGACACATTTTTTCTTCTTAGTGTAATAGCTATAATCAAAATCTATTAATATATTTGTGTTGTTCTGGTCAACTTTGTACAAGTTGTAACTGCAATGACAAAACACGCTTTCTAGATCTAGTTAATACTTAAGATCTTAAGGGGATGCCTGGCTGGCTCAGCTGCTCTTGATCTCAGGGTTTTAAGTTTCAACCCCAGGTTGCATACAGAGATTACTTAAAAATAAAATATTTAAAAACCAAAAACTTAAGTTTTTAAGGCTTCAGGGGAAAAAATTTCAATGTAGTTTCATCTCTGTTGGAGAAGTATGTCTTAAGAAAGAAGTAAAAGGCTTTCATGTATAAAAAAGTATCAGAAAAAAAAAGTATCAGGAGAAAATTATGGGGTGATATGAAATGGAAATACAGTTTAAAGGAGAAATGGAAGGGGCAGCTCGGTGGTTCAGACTCCGGCTCAGGTCATGATTTCAGGGTCCTGAGATCGAGCTCCACATCAAGCTCCCTGCTCAGTGGGAATCTGCTTCTCCCTCTCCCTGGGATTCTTTTTGTGATTCTCTTTCCCCCTCTGCATTCTCTCTCTCTTTCTCTCTCTCTCTCTCTCTCACACACACACACACACACAGTCAAAAAAATAATTAAAAAAAAAAAAAAGTAGGGATCCCTGGGTGGCTCAGTGGTTCAGCACCTGCCTTTGGCCCAGGGCATGATCCTGGAGACCCGGGATCGAGTCCCGCGTCAGGCTCCCAGCATGGAGCCTGCTTGTGTCTCTGCCTCTCTCTATCATGAATAAATAAAATCTTAAAAAAAAAAAAAGATTAAAAAAAAAAAGTAACAAAGTCTATCACTTTTCAATATTCTATAAGGAGTACAGGAGCAAAATGTGATTTTCAGTCCAGTGGCTGTCCCCCCAACTCCAGTCCGTGCCAGGCTCACACCTCACCTACTGGCAACCCCTCAAGTGCAGGGCTCTGTCCCCTGCTCCCTCTAGGGGCACACAAGGCCCTCCGCCTTGATTGTCATAGTGTCCCAGTCACGTGCCATGTGTTTGTCCTTCCACCAAATGTCATGTGTCTGGAGGGAAGGGCTGCACAGTTCCCAGTGCAACATCCTAGTGGTCCCTGTAGGCAGCAGGGAAGACTCCACCAGTCTGAAAAATAATCCAAACTATCTGAAACATGTTCACCCTTCCTTCTTAGTGTTCCGTATCCAAGGTTAAGTTTTACAGTCTAGCCCAGGAAAATAAGGAGCCTTGAGGAAGAAATAAAGGTAGGCAGAGGTGGAGCAGCACTATCCTAAAAGCCCCACCACATTCTCAACCTCCCGAGGAGGCTCAAAGGCAAGGGCCAGAAGTGTGATCTTTGTCCAGCCTAACCACTCTCCACGCGTCCGCCCCTGCCCAACCTTCATCTCTGTCTAACCTAACCACACATCCGCCTTTGCCTAAGGATAAAAATGAGACTACTGGCTCTTCCCATCTTCAAATACAAGTTATTTCAGAGCTGTGCAAGAGCTCTCTATACCAGAAGACTGGATTCTGCGTTTTTTCCTGCACAAGAAGTACAGACTAAACAAATATCCAAGGTCCTTTTGGATTAAGACCTTAGTTCTCTTGTGTGAATGAAGTGATGAAATCTGAGTATTTCACTCTAAAACTCAAGGCATGTTCTTAGAAAAGATCAAAACACGAGTTTTTCTAAAAGTCAAAAAATATGGAGACAATCACAAGACTTCTTGGGTTTCTCCAGAAACACAATACATCAACGTACCCTCAACTGATCAAGCTTCTCTCGGATCTGAATGAACCCCAAGTGTAACTTGCCCCCGAAGTGGTCTGCAAGACGACGGTCATTGTCATGGAGCCCAAGGTAGGCCGAACAGACCTCACAGACACGCAGCTTCTGCTGTTGGAAACTGGATGCAGGCATGGAATTTCTGTATTCTTCCTGGACGAGAACAGAGTAATCAAAGTGAGGTACACAGAACTGCAAGCAAATATTCAACCCCCAAAATGGAAATACTGGAAGGGACTACAGAGGTGACTTTTAAATAACAGAAATCGAATCATTTACAAGCTTTAGATATTTTTAACTGATTCAAATTCCATCATTTATGAAATGAACTAAGAATCATGATTTCAAAGCAATAAGGAACATTCAAAAACTCTCAGACAAGCAGGATGCGGTGTTCTCAGAGGCCAGCAGGGAAGGCAGGTCTCAGTTATGTGCAGTGGAGAGCGCTAGGAGGACCACAGAATCAAGAAGGGAGACTCTTCAAAGGGGGCCTTCATAAAACAAAGCACAAAAACCAAACCAAACAAGCAACATACAAAAGCTCCTCATCGAAGACTACGTCCCAAAGTCCAGAAATGCTGCCCTAAAAGCTAAAATACTGATGGACAAATAAGTTAGACACTCTCTTCAATAAGAACATGTCCAACAGAGCAGACCAAAATGCACCCCCTCTGGCAGCCACTCGTCAGAACAGATAAAATGCAGAACAAATGAAGCAGGACATGGCTCCTGGTGCTGGTGCCAAAGTCAGAGCATGCCTTCAAAACCCAGGTTTTGGGGATGCCAGGGTGGCTCAGAGGTTTGGCCCTTGCCTTCGGCTCAGGGCATGGTCCTGGGGTCCCGAGATCGAGTCCTACATCGGGCTCCCTGCATGGAGCCTACTTCTCCCTCTGCCTGTGTCTCTGCCTTTCTCTCTGTGTCTCTCATGAATAAATAAATACAATATTTAAAAAATAAAATAAAATAAGAATTACCTTTAGAGTAAGAGAAAGCTGCTGTAGAGAAAAATATTGTTTAAGATTTTATTTATTTGCGAGAGGGGAGGGGAGGGCTGAGCACAAGCAGGGAGAGGGACAGAGGGAGAAGCAGGCTCCCCGCTGAGCAGGGAGTCCCATGTGGGGCTTGACCCCAGGACCCTAAGCTGAAGGCAGACGCTCAACCCCCTGAGCCACTAGGTACCCCATCACAGAAAATTTTTAAAAATTCAATTTAACTACATATTTTTAAGGCATTAATGAGAAAAGATTAATGAAAACATTTTGATCATAAAAATGAATTGAGTTAGTATGAATGAATGGGTGGAGACGTGATGGTGGCTGTGGTGGTTTGTGCTCTGGGGCCACCAGTGACCTGGATTGTCCCCGTGCTGCCTGTGGTTGCAGGGTCAGGGGAGCCACGGGTGAAGTTGCCACAGAAATGTCCTGTATAAAGACAAACAGATCAGCCCAAGTCTTGTCTCCAGCGGTTGCACAGATTTTATAGGATGCAGTGGGGGAATAAATAACCTAATGTTTGGTTTAAAATGACTTAAAATTTATTTTCAGCTAAACTTTTTTTTTTAAGATTTATTTATTTTAGAGCGAGAGAGAGCATGTACATGAGTGTGGGAGGGTGGGGAGGGTGGGGAAGGGCAGCGGGAGAGAGAGAATCTTGAGCAGACTCGTTGCTGAGTGTGGAGCCCAACACAGGGCTCGATCTCATGACTGAGCCAAAACCAAGAGAGTCTGATGCTCAACCGCTGAGCCACCCGGGCAACCCAGTTATTCTCTTTTTTTTTTTTTTTTTAACCCAGTTATTCTCATTTTAAAAGATATTTTCCAGGAATGCCCAGGTGGCTCAGCGGTTGAGCCCCTGCCTTTGGCTCAAGGCGTGACCCCGGGGTCCTGGGATTGAGTCCTGCATCAGGCTCCCCACATGGAGCCTGCTTCTCCTTCTGCCTGTGTCTCTGCCTCTCTCTCTGTCTCTCATGAATAAATAAAATAAAATAAAAATAAAAGGTATTTTTCCATTCTAGCCTTTGCATTGAATTAAAAAACAAAAACACATGAATTAAAACACAAAAACAAAAAAAAACACTCCACCAAAACCCAGGTTTTAAGAAATGCATTCCAACAGCTACTGATTTTTTTTTTTTTAAAAGATTCTATCCATTTGTTCATGAGAGACACAGAAAAAGAGAGACAGGCAGAGACACAGGCAGAAGGAGAAGCAGGCCCCACACAGGAAGCTTGATGCGGAACTCTATCCCGGAACTCCGGGATCACGTCCTGAGCCACAGGCAGGTGCTCAACCTCCAAACCACACAGGTGTCCCTAAATAATCAAATTTTCTACTCAACTGCATTCTAATGAACTCTCATCAGGTCTTTTTTTTTTTTTTTTAAGATTTTATTTATTTATTCCTGAGACACAGAGAGAAGCAGAGACACAGGCAGAGGGAGAAGCAGGCTTCCTGCGGGGAGTATGACATGGGACTCGATCCCGGGACTCCAGGTTCACGACCTGGGCTGAAGGCCAGGTGCTAAACCTGTGAGCCACCCAGGGATCCCCCACAGCCACTGATTCTTAAAGGGATCTTCCACCAGTTCATATGTTCAAACTTCCCTGGCAAATGCAGATTACAATGAGACACAATGTCACTCACTAAACCGGCAAAGACAAAAAATAAGGTACTCTCATACCTTTTGGTAGGTGATGATGTTGGGGCAACTAACAATGCAACTGAATTAGCTGCGAAAGCAAGACAGGTGCAAGCCATTACCAGGAACCCTTCTAGGCATATGTCCTAGAACATGCTCATACGTGTGCCAACAAACAAGCGCAAGGATACTTGCTGTGAACTGTCTTTGAAGATAAGAAACCAGAAAACTAAAAAAAAAAAAAAAGAAACCAGAAAACTGCCAATGGACAGGCACATGTTCATGAAACGGAACCCTACAGCAATAAACTGAAGGAAGTTGTATGGAGCAACAGGCAGAGACCTCACAAACAGTGCTGAGAATAATGCAAGAGAAAAAAATACACAGTTGGCAGCACTGATGTGGGATATTTTAAAAGCACAAAGCTTTTAAACCTACAACACACACACACAGAGTTTATGGGAAGCACACATGTGTAGTAAAGGATGAAGACAGAATGCCTGCCTCTGGGAGGGGCAGTATGGGACTGGAGAGGGAAGCACCGAGAACCTGCAATTCCATCATGATGTGCTACAGCTTTTATTCAAAGAAAAAAACAAGGGACACCTGGGTGGCTCAGCAGTTGAGCGCTTGCCTGCCTTTGACCCAGGGTGTGATCCTGGAGTCCCAAGATCAAGTTCCACATCGGGCTTCCCATGTGAAGTCTGCTTCTCTCTCTGCCTACGTCTCTGCCTGTGTCTCTCTCATGGATTAAAAAAAAAAAAAAAAGGAAAAACAAAACCAAAAATCTTAGGCAAAAATGATAAATACGGTGGGGACACAGTATTTGTGATACTCTATCCCTTTCTGTAATTTCAAAACTAACTACTACCCCTCTAATTTCTCTCAAAATAAACTCTAATTATGCTGAGTGAAAAAGAAAATCAGTCTAACAACATTCTTGAAACAACAAGAATATAGAGATGGAGGACAGGCTCATAGTTGCCAGGGGTCAGAGGAGTGGGTGAGGCTACATAAGGGTCATGGAAGGGAACTTAGTGGTGATGGATATTCCGTATGGTGACTGTCAACATCCTTTCTGTGGTATTGTGCTATGGTTTCCCAAGATGTCATCACTGGGGGAAACTGGATAAAGGGTACACAGGATCTCTCTGTATTTTTCCTTCAGACTATTCAACAACCTTGAGCGCTGAGCAGAAAGGAACCCACAGGTGCCAGAGATGAGCACACTGGAGGCCTGTCTTGCTAGTGGTTTTAAGGAAGTGGAGCTGCCTGCCAGGGTACTGTCAGCCATGGGGACGGAGGACAGTGGCTGTGGCAAAGATACTCCGAGCCCTGGGCATGAAGAGCCACACATCCCACATCCTGGTCTGGTCTGGGATGTCTGCACATCTCCCCATGATGAGCCCCTCATCGAAAATCATTTACATACAAATCCCACAGATTTCCGGTGACGGCTCTGCTCCTGGAAGCATGAAGGTCTGGACCTCAGGGTGCCCCAAGAAGCCATAGAGCTTCCCTCCTGACTCTCTGGCCTTTCTAGTAGAGCTGTCAGCAACCCAAGGAGCCTTACTGTGTTCTACATGTAAACACGAGTTTCTCACTTCAGCATACAGATAATGTAGATCCTATATAAGAATTTATATACGTGACTTACATTTATAATAAACTCTCAGGGATTTAATACTGTGCAAAATGCAGAATTTGAATTTACACCAAATTCCCCAGAAATGGAACTACTCTGTAAGCCAGGGAACACTGTTCAGAAATTTACCAAGTCACACATCTCCATGGCAATGCCACTCAAAGTATTTGATTAGAACATCACCTGCAACTGTCACATTCATGACCCCATCTGTCTTTTGGTGTGAATACATTTTACAGAGAAAACATCTGTACTGTGAATTCTTTTCCTTCTCATGTTCAAGGATGGAGCATATTAGCTACGAATGTCCCTCAAGGGGGTGCTGCTCTGCCAGGGACATGAAGCATCATCTCAGCATCAGCATCCAACAGACATATGCGGCTGACCCCAACCCTCGCACGGCCCCGTCTTGAGTAACCCTTCTGCTCTCTGCATTTACCAATGTGGGCATCACTCTAGCACCCACAGGCCCTTGGCATTACTCATGCATTCAGTTAATCATTACTGAGCTCCTACTGTGGGTTAAGCATCATGCTGTGCCAGGGGTAGGGAGGGAGATAAGCGGAGAGAGACCTGCACCAGGGCACCTACATGCCGTCTCCTCATATCTATTTGGCTTCCCTACCCCACCACTCTTAATAACCTTCTCAGTCTGTGCGTCTCAGCTAAGGGCACTTCCAGGATCACCCTATCCTACCTGGAGACCCCTGGAAACACAAAGCCACTCTCAAACTCAGACCTCATTTCTTTTGAGCACCTATCTTCATCTGAATCAATCTTATCCATCTGTACACATACCCTTCTACCTGCATCTCCTCCCACCTCCAGCATTGTCTCCACAAGGAGGGCCTCCTCACAACTAAAAACTATGTGGCACACAGCTGGAGCTTAACAAGCATTTACCACAGAAACACAATCATCCCCGTCCCCCTCGGATTCCCCCATTCCCACCATTCTCAAAGCCCGTGTGAGCCAGTTCCAGTGGTAAAGACTTATGAGTCAGAGCATATCCAATGGATAAAATAATCTAGGAAGACAACAGCTGTCAATGATACAAACACTGAGCCCCTAAGTTTCTCCACCACCCTTCCAGTTTATCCTGGCCTGGCACCCAGGCTGACTCCGTTTGGATGCTACCCTCAATCTGCACAGGTTCTCTCTACCAGAGATGCAGTGTCACCAAGAACACCCAGATTTTGTTCTTTACATCAATCTGCACTACAACTCTGGCCCACTCACACCAGCTGAGTAACCACCACGGCCCAGCAAACCCTTACAGAGCCGGAGGATGAGAGAGTAAAATGACACACCACTCCAGTGACTCTTCAGCTCTTGGGACTGCAGCCTGCATGTGGGTGTTATGCTCATGGTTGGCAAGTTCCAGGTCCAATGTTACACATAGGTCACAGGAGGCAGAGCAAAAGCACAAACCCAAACATGCTGACTCTAAACCCTACAATCCTATCCACATAACACCCTATTTCCAACTTTTCCCCAATATTAAAAAAAATGGAATAATTTCATTTTAGCCCAAAAGGTCAACATTCTGGGGTTACTATGTTTCCTCTATCTCAAAGACATTTTACCACCAACCTCAGCTTCTTTTTTCTTTGCACGGACTTTCTCCACTTCCATAAGAATCTTCTGGGATTCATCCACATTTCCTTCAGCTCCCAGTTGCTCAGCTTTAGCAAGTAGTTTTCCTATTTCTTCATTCAACTCATGTACTTTTTCTGCCTGAGGGAAAACAGAAACAAGCAGGTCAGCAAACATCTAAACCAAAGGATTTTTTTTTTAATATCGTTTTATTCATGAGAAACAGAGAGAGAGAGAGAGAGAGAGAGAGAGAGAGAGAGAGAGAGAGGGCAGAGACACAGGCAGAGGGAGAAGCAGGCTCCCTGTGGGGAGCCCAATGTGGGACTCGATCCCAGGACCCCAGGGTCATGCCCTGAGCCGAAGGCAGACGCTCAATCGCTGAGGGACCCAGGTGCCCCAAGATTTCTTTTATTCATTCACTTGACAGACAGAGCTGAAGTACACACAAGAAAGGGGGAGCAGCAGGCAGAAGGAGAAGGAGAAGGCTTCCCACTGAGCAGGAAGCCCTGAGGTGGGCCTCAATCCCAGGACCCCAGGATCACCACCTGAGCCAAAAGCAAATGCTCAACCACAGAGTTACCCGGGTGTCCCTAAAACTAAAAGATCTTAACACAGAGACAATGAGTGCTTTTCCTGCTGTACTTCTAATCTGTTCCACCAAAATTAAATGAAATGAAATAGCCAAGATCTTTGCTGGATCACAAGCAAACTGTAAGAATTTTGACATCCTAACTGGCCCCTTTGTGTCTGTGACCTTAAACTAAACCTGTGTGCTGCATTCCAGTAAGAGCAGCAGCATCCCTGTCACTTCCAAAATGGTTGCCAAAGTCATCATGGTGGTCACTTTCTAGGCTGTTTCTTCTCACATCTTCTATCACGCCTCAACCTGGTAAGAGCCACAAAATGTCCAGGTTTAAATGCGTAAACTTGTAACATATGCAAAATGTCTAATCATTTGGGATTTAATTTTAGAAATAAGGTAGCACCTATGGTTCAGTTAGCAACTACACATATTTTTTTTAAGATTTATTAAAAAAAAAGATTTTATTTATTTATTCATGAGAGATATATAGAGAGAGGTAGACACACGGCAGAGGGAGAAGCAGGCTCCATGCAGGGAGCCCGATGTGGGACTCAATCCGGGATCACGCTCTGAGCTGAAGGTAGATGCTCAACCACTGAGCCAGCCAGGCGTCCTCTGCAACTACATATATTCTAAGCAACACTTTTACAAAATTGAGAGGCAAAGACACCGAAGAGACTCATCAGCTGCACTCAAAGAGGGGAAGGGTAGAGGGGTGTGCTGACAGGCCCATGACACACAGATCTACCTTCTTTACTGTGCAGGACAACTGCCCCACAGTCTAACCATTTCCCAAATAACTGTCCCCCCTTTCCTGTTTTATGTGGAGGTGTTAAAAAAGCAAACTTTAATAAGCTTGTACAGGGCAGCCAGGGTGGCTCAGTGGTTTAGCGCTGCCTTCAGCCCAGGGCCTGATCCTGGAGACTCGGGATCGAGTCCCACGTCGGGCTCCCTGCATGAGCCTGCTTCTCCCTCTGGCTGAGTCTCTACCTCTCTCTCTGTGTGTCTCTCATGAATAAATAAAATCTTAAAAAAAATAATAATAATAAAATAAAATTGTGGCATCACAGTTAAAAAAGAAGAAAAAAAAAAGCCTGTACAGTAGAGGCAGAGACAAGGCAGAAAGCAGCTCCTGGGGGCTGCGAGCTCACGGGCAGCCTTCTCTTCTTACTGAAAAGCAGCAAGGCAGCAAGGACTGTCCACCTCAAAGGCGCACTGTCAGTGGTGATGGCAAGCTGCTGGCCTGTTGGCAGAATGGTTTTTAGGACACAGATCTGTACACACAACTCAAGGAGAAAGTCTCCCAGGCATACCTTCGCAGAAACTTCTGCACTGATCTCCTCTTGCGTCTCTGCTAGCCGCTTCTTGGCAAGCTCAGTCCTCCGATCGCACTCGGCAATAAAGGATTCCAAGTGATCCATTGCCTAACTCAGGAGAAGCAGAGAGCTATGATCAGTTACAAGTAAGGTCTTAGAACCCATCAGTTCAATAGGACATATACTCCTGGGTTGTTTTTTTTTAAAGCCTGTAACTTCAGTGGGAAGATCTTAAGCTACACTACAGCTAGCACATCCATAATCACATTAAACCAAGGGGCTTTGTTAAACCAAATGATCATTTAGAAGCATTATCTTCTCATCTGATCTGTTTACTACTAAAATTTGTAAAAGGACCCCCATCCCTCAATAACATTTCCCAGAATTTTTTTGGTCATAATTAATAGCGTTCTCTGAGGGGTAGGAAAGCCGGGACTAGTATCAGAGGCCCTCTTCTGGTGAGCTGTTGGGGGTGCGGATGATGTACTCACTGGTCTGTGTGAGCCACGTAAATATTATTCCCTCATGTTCTGAGGGTAGAGTTCCCCCTTCCACCTCAAAACAAAACAATAGAACAAATATTACTGAGAGCTGTGAGCATGATTAGTTATTGCCTGTCTAAAGTAGCAGGAAAACTGGTTACTACTTACCCAAAGAGATAATGGAATAGAAACTCTAGAAATCTAATTGCTCACTCTGAAAAGACTTGTGGGGAAACACCAATAAGCTGCTCCACATGTTAGACAGTTATTTTGCCATGACCAGTCAAAGGCCCCAGCATAACTCCATATAAAACATACAAATAGGATATCTGTCAGGCTTGGACCAGTGATGAGCAAGCAGCACCTCATAATTTACACCCACTTGTCCACTTGCAGATGGTGGCACTGTGTTAAGTATGACAGCAAGGGAGTGTAGCACAGGAGGACAGGACTGCACCAGGATCTATCACCAAAAAAATACAGAAGAAAAACCTCTGGGTGGAGGTGATATAAAGCCGATGAAAGGCCAACAGACCAAACGGTGATAATCTATGACCCTCCGCCCAAAGATGGGCAAGAGAAAGCACTCCACAAGGATCAGTGTGACACTAGTATGGACAAGAGGGTTATAGTCTCCTCCAGAAAATGCTTGTTTCAAGTAAATGCATACTTGGACATAGGTCAAGACAAGGATGTTCTGTGATGGTGCCAAGCCCCCCAATCGTGCTTCGAAAAAGGCTAAAGCATCATTGCCCACTAAGGTCAACTCCCAATTTTACTTCAATTTTGGAGTTCAGGATCTCTTTCCTGTTGTTGGTCATCCAAACATTCCCTGATAAACATTTCACTATGTTCAAATCAAACAATCAGGTAAGCAAATGATCAGTGTTTATCTGCAAGTATTATACTTCCCAGAAAGATACAGGGTTGCCAACTCTGCTGACAGGATGATAACTCTCCAGGATCAAGTTGCCAGCAAGCCAATACAGGTCACATGCCACCTGTGCTCATATGGGACAAAGGAGCCTAGTAGACTAACCTCAAATGCCCCAGGTCCACACCCACACAGAGGTGCTTAGTCTGTGGTGCAGAGTCCCTTATTATCTACCCAAACAGAGCCATCTCACACCTGCACCAGACCCATAAATCCCCTCATCAGGGGTCCAGTGGGGAACAGACCACGAGACAATCCTGCCAGCGCCCTGACCAATTAAAGCAATCAGCTGCAGCTCCAGCAGAACCCAAATTAGCTACAGACTCAGGCATCTGATAAGCTAAAAATTAAATGGCAAACTTCACACATAGAATAGCCACAACAGAGAGACATCTTTTAACTGCCACATCCTTTAAAAGATGGCACTGTTCGACTGCCCCTTCTTCTCTTCAATGTGTTTGTCAACTTCAGATTGAGTCCTAAAATATATGACTTAAATAATTAAAAAAAAAAAAAAAAGGAATTCATGTCAGGTGGCCTGGGTGGCTCCATTGGTTACGCATCTGCCTTTGGCTCAGGTCATGATCTTGGGGTCCTGGAATTGAGGCTGACATGGTGGCTCCCTGCTCACCGGATGGCCTGCTTCTACTCCTCCCTCTGCCCCTTCCTGTCCTACTCATGTTCTCTCTCAAATAAAAGCTTAAAAAAAAAAAAAAGTATTCAAGTCTAAATATTAAGACCTTATTCACAACCTACCATTTACTACATAGTCACCCAATCTCTACAACTGAAGAGTGGTATGGATGCCTGAGCACAGTGCTGGCACAAAGTAGGCAGAGAAGTCTCACTGTGGCTGAAGGCTATTCCTCCACACTCGGGACAGTGTGGAGGTGCTGTTCCCAGCTGTTCCCAGCTGTTGCCAGCCCAGTAGAAATGACACTGGCCAGACATCAGGGAGCCTGAGGCTGGTCACAGGGAACACGTGCCCTTGTGCTATGTTGCATGTCCACATATGTCTTAAAATGGCCACCTAGAAACTGTGAAGGTCTCCATTTCCCAGATGAAGAAATTAAGGTAGTTTCCAAACTACTAAATGATGGCACCAGGATATGAGGACTCCAAAGTCCCTACGCTCAATGTGCACAACTCTGAGGCAGTCACCACCAGCCTGGTTCATGGATGAATAGAAAAAGTTAAAACAACTTGCCCAAGGTCATAAAGGGATTCTAACCCAGGATATCTGACTTAGTAAATGGAACTATTATTTTTATATCTGTACATAGAAAAAGTAGGTATAATTAGAACTGGTCTCATTTGGTATAGTAAAGATAGTCTGAAAATTATTTAGGATGTGTAGTTTCAGAACCTGTCAAATAAAATATCACAAAGCAAGACAATTTAGGGGGAAAAATTAACTATTTTTTTTATTAAATTAAGAAGAATCAAAATCTTTGTATTTTCAATATATTGACACTAAAGAAATGCTCGTTTTCACAAGGTAAATTAATGTGTTAACATTGCTGCTTGCCAGTTTTCGAGTTGAGAAACTTTAAATGTCATTTTGTTTTTTTAAAAAAGATTTTATTTATTTATTTGAGAGAGAGAGAGACAGAAAGTAAGAGAGAGCACAAGCAGGGTGGAGAGGGAGAAGCGGGCTCCCCGCTGAGCAAGGAGCCTACATGCAAGGCTTGGTCCCAGGACCCTTAGATCACAACCTGAGCCAAAGACCGATGTTAAACCGACCAAGCCACCCCGGTGTACCTTAAAATGTTCTTTATACAGATTGCCTAGTAGCAAAACATTTTACACCCTTTTCTAAGGAATTTCTGGACAAAGTACTTTCGAGAAATCAGGCCTGCCGCTGGCACAGTCAGGATGAGACTGTGTTGACCTAGAGGGAGCCAATGGTAAAGATAGGGAGACACCTTCTCCCAGATAAAACACCAGTGGTTCCACCCACCAAGCTCAAGTCGAGGGCCCAGGCAGGCAATACCTACACAAAGAAATACCTTTCTATACCTCTTAATATGCCCAAATATGGTTACTCACTGTTAGCAAAGATGTGAAGATGGGAGAACTCTTCTACACTGCTAGTGGGAGCATTCACCCCACTGGGTAACACTATGGTACCATCAAAACCCCAGATACCCTTCTGATCCAACAGTTCTGCATCTAGGAATCTCCCCTGGATACGTGCATATGATGGCAACGTGTAATGCAGCACCACAACCATCAACAGGGGACTGGTCATATAAACTGGACACCCATCCTTTGAAATACTACATAGCCAAAAAAGGAATAAGGAACTCTATATAAAAAGTTAAAAAAAAAAATGAAGCAGCAGGTGTAGAACAAGGTGTACAGATTACCATCTATATAAAAAAATAAAAGAGAATATAGACACTGTCTGCCTCAGGTATCCACATAAACCCCAAAGGAAACAGAAGACATCGGTTACTTCTGGAGGCACCCAAGTGACTGAAAAACACAGTGGAGAGGTTTCACATGTTTTTACATTAGTAAGAAATGCTGCAACCTTAGTGAAATAACTCATCTTGCAATTAGGCAATAATCCTCGACTGCTGCTTAAAGGATCAGGCCAAAACCTGAAGCTGAAGGGGACCTTGACAATCAATAGGTTAAGGCTGCCTGCAACAACCAAACCAACTGATCACTGTGCCAGGTGAGGTGATGCAACAGCAAGTGCAAAGCTCTGCCTCTGAAATATTTCAGTCACAAAAGAACTTAAATCTGATGATAAAGCCTCCAAATCTAACTCCTAGAGTACAGAAGTTGTAAAGATTAGGGGAAACATGTTAAAAAGACACCATGAGGTTATAATCAGCAAAATCCAGGGAGACTTTTAAAAAATTTTTTCAAACAAATGGATTTAAAAAGACTTACAAAGCATTCTAATGTGTAGCCCTTATTTTGAATCCTGAGTCAAAGAAATAAAACGTTTATAAAAGAATCCCTTTTGAAGCAATCTCGGAAATTTAAACATTATCACATACTAAGAAATTATTTTTAAAATGACTGGTTTTAACACAGTCCTCCCTCTAGATGTAGTATTTACAGTGTTTAGCAGTGCAGTTATGTCTAGCAGCTAGTACAAAGTAATCCGAACCGACAGTGGGGCATGGGGTACCTGGCACTCAGGGGGTGGAGCGTGCGACTTCATCTCAGGGTTGTGGGTTTGCCCCCATGTTGAATGTAGGGATTACTTACAAAAACCTAATCTCTTTTTAAAAAAAGACTTGAGAGAGAGAGAGAGAAAAATCAAGCATGAGCTGGGGGAGTGGTGCGGAGAAGGAAAAGCAGGCCTGCTGAGCAGGGGCCCAATGTGGGGCTTGATCCCAAAACCCTGGGATGGTGGCCTGGGCTGAAAGCAAGCACTTAATCGACTGAGTCACTCGCCCACCCTTAAAAAAAAAAAAAAAATCCAGTGGGGAAATACAATGATAAATATGAAACAAGAGTCTCCACATCAACAGTCACTGAAAACTGGGAGACAAACCCCGGAAATTTTATTATCCTGCCCACTTCTGTATCTTTAAAGTTTCTCAGTAACACGTTCTTCAAGACACGTGAAGTAGATTGTCACCATCAAGGATGATACCAAGTCTCCATACCCATGGCAATGGCAAAGCTGACGTGTTCACAGATGAAATGACTGAGGTGTGCGGTCTGGA